CTTCGAGGACGCCCGCTACCTCCTCGACACGTTTGCGTGATCCCTCATCAGTACCACCTCCTTTGCCTCCCAGACCACATGCCGTGGGAAAGGCTGTAAAGGACAAAGCCAGTGAGCATACCCTAACTGCGACAGAGTGGCCTGCACTTCAAAGGGAAGCAGCATCAAGCGAACCGAAGGAGCTTCATGACGGCCAGTCCGCGCTCCCGGTTCGAGATCTTTCCAACCAAGACAGGCAAGTGACTGCAATCGTCCGGTTCGAGATCTTTCCAACCAAGACAGGCAAGTGGCTGCAATCGTGCAATCATTAATTGCCACGATTCGCACGCTACTGAGCAGCATACAATCTCCGTCTGCTAAGAGTGCACTGCAAATACTGGATGCACTGAATCCAGTTCTTGCTAACTTCGTATAAGCACAATGGCTCAACAAAATCTCATCTTCCGCACTGAAGTTAAAAGTGCGTCGATTTTTCAGTGGAATGCCAGAGGCATGAAGTCCCGTATCTCGGACTTTCGCCAATTTGTTCGGGCCAATCAATTCCCTATACTTGTCATATGTGAACCAAACGTATCAACGCCTTATAGATTGTCCGGTTATGAAGCTTTTTGTTCAGCCGCTTGCGAAGAACGAAGCAAAGTAATTGTTTACATTCGCACAGACTTGACTTATCTTTCGCACCCAATAAGTTCAAATGACGACAATCAGTACGTGTGTCTTCGTGTGAAGAAGAATGCAGTTTCGTTCACGCTTATTGGTGGATATATATCTCCGTCATCGCGATTTGACTGCGACAGATTAAAAGACATCCTAATGAGAACCGATGGGCCTTGGATCATCACCGGTGACTTCAACGCCCATCACATGCTTTGGGGGAGCACTAGGATGAATGCCAGGGGCCGGAACATTGTTACATTCGCTTCCGATTACGACCTTTCCATCATGAACGATGGTACCCCCACATATCTGCGGGGTCTCACGTATGGCAGTTGCCTTGACCTGACATTGGTGTCACGGTGCTTCTCTCACAAAGTTAAGTGGTTTTGCGATATTGAGACTCATGGGAGTGATCACATACCCACCTACGTGACGATCGATGGTATCATAAAAAATTTCTCTTCCGGTGTTGCAATTGGCACTGACTGGTCGATGTTTGCATCGCGTGTTGAGAACGCTTGCCAAGAAGGCCTCGCCTGCAGCCTGGAAAATACCATAGTGGAAGCTATGCAAGCGTCCAAATGTAAATTACCATTTTCGTCTAAAGTAACACAGTTTGACATCGAACTGGAAAAATTACGAGCTATACGAAGGCGTGCTGAACGACGATACAGACGCACAAGATCAATTTACGATCTGAGGGAAGCAAGGCGGCTCCAGAAAAAGATTCAACGACGCATTTACAAACTGGAGAGCGAACGCTGGAAAGCATTCTGCGAATCTCTAGACCCTCATAAACCGCTGTCATATATCTGGAGAACAGTTCGTGGTCTTCGCTCCTCTCCACAACAACGGCACCCTTTTAAAGCTTTGGCACTCCATCATGGAAAAACAGAACTCGAGGTGGCTGAAGAATTTTGCACGAGAGTTGCCGGGAATATTATGAACGAGAGCATCGACGCCGTGATCGTTCCTGAGACGCGATTACCAGAAATGGACATTCCGTTCACCATGGAAGAACTGGAAGGTGCGTTAGTCGCTTCTAAGCGCATGTCATCGCCAGGTCCTGATGGTATTACTTATAGTGCGTTGGGACACCTTGGACAAAAAGCTAGAAAAGAACTTTTAACATGCTTCAACAACTCCTGGCTCAGCGGCAGTGTTCCCCGAGAATGGAAAATAAGTCGATTAATACCACTTTTGAAATCGGGAAAATCACCATTGGACTTGACAGCGTATCGCCCTATTGCCCTCGCAAGCTGCCTCGGAAAAGTGATGGAAAGAATGGTTCTATTTCGTCTCGAGTGGTACTTGGAACGATACACCAAATACCCTTCTTGCATGGCAGGCTTTCGTCGGGGCCGCTCCTCCATTGACTGTGTCCTTGATTTATCGACATTTGTTCAACAAGAAAAAAGTCGCAAGCGCATATCAGTGGCACTCTTTCTTGACGTGAAGGGTGCATATGATAATGTAGCTCACGATGCCATCCTCACTTCTCTCGCAGCAATGGGCATTGGTGGACGAATGTTTCAATGGATAAAAGATTATATAACTGGCAGGGGTTTCTTTGTACAAACATATGAGGGTACAACTGCCCAACATTACACCTACTGCGGAGTACCTCAGGGAGGTGTTTTAAGCCCCACATTGTTCAATGTGGCCCTCATTGGTCTGGTGAAGGTTCTGCCAAAGTCGGTGTGCCTATCCATATACGCCGATGATATTTGCCTCTGGAGTGCTGCAGTTACTCGCCCTCAGGTGCGTGCACGAATACAGCGGGCAGCAACCCTCACAACAGCCTACCTTCAGAAACAAGGCCTAAATATATCAACTGTGAAGTGCGCGTTGATGGCGTTTACACGCAAACCAATGACGCCATACCCTGTTTACATCAATGGGCAGAGTGTCAAATATGCACGGACGCATCGTTTCCTGGGCATAATAATCGACAGAAGTCTTTCGTGGAGCCCACATTGTGCGTACTTGAAGAAGAGACTGCTATCTATTGTGCATATCATGAAATTCTTGTGCGGTAAAGCATGGGGAACTTCTGTGGCCTCCATGCTACAGCTGTACAGGGCCCTATTTCTGGGTCTATTGCGCTACAGCTTGCCGGTACTGACTAACACTTGCAAATCGAATACTCATTCATTGGAGAGTTTGCAGGGTCAGGCACTGCGTATCTGCCTAGGACTGCCCCGATGCGCTTCTACTTATGCCACAATCATGCTTGCCAAAGACCATCCGGTCAGGACATATAGTTGTGGATTGCCTCAGAGCGCACATTCGACATGCTAGCCGTGTCCCCGACCACCACTTGGCCCTTCTACCTTCCGGAAGACCACGTGCTACGTTTTCAGACGTCATAGCCAAGCACCTAAACAGCATTCCATCAGGATATACGCCAGCTGCGAGAACGGCATGCCCTTTGTGGTGCCTCGACCAGCCGCAAGTACGTCTAGAAATTCCGGGAATCAAAAAGAAAAGCAGTCACTCCAGAGTAGCATTGAAGCAAGCAACACTGCTATTATTACATGAGTTGTACTTAGACCGAACGCAGATATACACTGATGGGTCCGTCTCATCCAGCAGCTCATCAGGTGCCGCTGTAATTCCGGCTGCAGAAATGACAATCAAGTTTAAGTTGTCGCATATGACTACATCTACGGCATCAGAGCTTGCTGCTATAAGGGCTGCTTTACAATATCTCATTCAATAACGTCCAGGAAAATGGGTCATATTCTGCGATTCGAAGGCAGCGCTTCAGAGTTTGCAGTTTGCCATGCGTAGGAGGAGCCATGACCAACTGGTACAAGAAATAAGACATTGCCATCATGAAGCTCTAGCACGAGGGCATGATATTATATATCAATGGCTGCCTGGACATATCGGTATTACCGGAAATCAATTAGCCGATGATGCAGCCCGCTCAGCCCATGAAGAAACCCGTGTAGTCCCGATTCCTCTATCAAGGAATGATGCAGCAAGACAACTTTACCTGCTGGCTCGAGATCTCACACGCACGTTCTGGTCGTCTACCAGCTTCCAAAGGTGTCAATTTTATGAACTGGATCCTTCGCTCAAGCTAAAGCTACCATCACAACTTTCCCGCTCCGATGCGACACTGTTATGCCGCCTTTGGTTGGGTGTTGCATTCACAAAGGCGTACTCCTTTCGCATTGGTATGGCCGACACTCCTACATGTGACTACTGCGGAGATGAAGAGACCATCGAACACGTCCTGTGCAGCTGCGCTTGCTACGACACACAGCGATGCCAGCTACGACACACAGCGATGCCAGCTACGTATGGTTTTGAATCGACTTGACCCCGGACCATTTTGTGTGCAGAAGATACTAGGACCTTGGGCATCTGCCTCAGTTGCGCAGAAAGCACTAAAGCACTGCTACTTTACCTTAAGTCAACAAACCTGAGCGACCGCCTGTAAACTGTGTGTGCTCCCCGAGTGTGCTCGTGATTGTGTGTACCTTCTCATCTTTCTGCAACCTCTTTTCTCCCCTTTATCCCCTCCCCAGTGCAGGGTAGCAAACCGGATGTGCGTCTGGTTAACCTCCCTGCCTTTCCTTGCATCTTTATCTCTCTCGCTCTCTCTTGTTTTTTTAAGGTGGGTTGTTGACAGGGGTGCTACCTGCTGTATTCGCGCACGCAAATGGAGGCAACTATTAGCCTTTCTGCCTCTCTGAAATATGGAGGGCGAGTAACAGCATCACTCCAGAAGCAAATGTAATCTGTGGATACAGATAGGCAGGCCGGCTTCAGTATAACATTAACAAGACCAATGAGGACAACAGCGAAAAAGGAGGAAAATGATACGCCTTCCTGAAAAACTGAGCAGTACTTGTCATGTACAGATTTACCCTCATTGAATCGCACAAACAAGGAGCGGCTAGTTTCAGAGTCGATTGCCAGCCCATCGAAACATTCTTCCACCAATGCCTGCTGCATCGACGACAGTGAGGATGGTAATATGGGGTACATTACCGCATGTACCCTTTCTCTCAAGGAAGAAGGTGGATGTGTGTGTGTATGTGTGTGTGTGTGAGAGAGAGAGAGGGAGAGAGAGAGATAGAGTGCGTGGGTGTGCGATATATCAAACTAGGACAAAATGCCATATCGGAGCATGCTTATTAATCCCAGAAATGAAATAGGGAACGAATTCGTTAATGAATACCCCGGACTCTGCTTCACATATGATAGTTCTTCTGCGTAATATTTTCTTGCATTCTGATTAATTAGGACATTTGACGCATACCTTACGTTACTATGAGTCACATGGCTTTTTTTTTTATTGCGAAGGCTCGGGAAATAGCTGACACCATCTCTCCAACAGGGTCAATCATCTCCAATTCATAGAATTGAAGCAATCAGGACAATTGACGTCGGCATTACAGAAAAACGCTTCGTTGGGATCTACTCTCAGCTTCAAGGTAAAGTAGTAATTCCTTACTACATTGACCGGCGTTGGGATACCGTAAGCATTTCGCATGAGAGCAGCTCACAAGTTTTTTCGTTTTAGATCTTCTACTCACATTTACCATAAGTATTCGTTAATGCACAAAAGCCGCCGAAGAAATCAAATGTGTTAACGTTTAGAACCGCTCCTACTAGCTCAACGCTATGCATTTGCGCACTTGAGTGCCAAGAGTACTTCCACTCCCTCAGCGGGAATGCCTTCGCGAAAAAGGGATATACTTGACCTGTTCTAAATAATCATGCATAGGAACTATTCGAAGTTTTAAGATATTGTGGTGACACTGAAGTAGTGTAACAAATAAAAACAATGTAGTTTCGTTTAGTGAGTATGGTGTAATATTTATTGATACGCGGATGTAGCGATGAATTAGTGTGAGTGCTGATATTGGCTTGGAAGTTGAATGTGACATGCTAACTTGATCGTTTTTGTAGCAGGACTACACGCACATACCCCTGTATCTATTGAGAATCGCTAACCATGGGCGCTTTTCAACCTCCCGAAAGCATGGCAAACGTGTTTCGCTAAGCAGATAAAATGTTGTCATGATTGGGGTTGCTATGAACAAAAAATTAGGTGCCACAATTAACGCGTAGTTGTTTTTTTATGATATACACCAGGAGTCCCAAGAACGTGGCCAGCGACACACACGTGAATGTATCCGTCGCACAGCTGCATTTTTATTTGGCTAATAATTACGTTTGTGAACTACAGAGGCAAGGCTGACCTGAGGCATTCGTTTGGTGAAGCACCCCATGTGTTCAACATTTCTTAAAGCATAACCGTGGAACAAAATCTATAGTTCTGAATTGGTACCGAAAAACAGTGATTTGGTGATTTGTACTACAATAATAAGTCCTGGGGCCGAAGTTTCTTCAAAAATGACCCATATCATAGATATGGGAAAGTATTCACTTAGAGCGGTAGCGTTTGCTGAGAGTCACAGTCTGCAGATTGCACATACCTTGGAAATTGATGTTATGCAAATCATGCGGCTACAAGGCGAATGTGTTTAATTTATTTTTTTATTGAACGAGACGTCATGGAGGGGCGAGCAATATACGTACAAATCTACACACACACATATAAACAATAATGAGCCTCAAATGTTCTATATTAGCTTTTGTTTGCAGTTGCGTAATGATGCCAACAGCAGCATGAATATTAGAAACACCTCAAGCAGTTAGCTGATCTGAAGCGCTGATTCTTACGCTGAGGCTCATGAGGATGGTAGCCCTCAACACTGCTACACAAGTCAGCCTCAGCGGATGACGCCTAACTACAATTGACGTTAACCCGACAAGACGGATGTATCAAAGTAGTACATATGTCATGCCATAATATTAGATAGCCAGTACTGCTATCAGAATTGACGTTTCATGAACATTAGAGTATGTTGGGAAAGTACTTCCGAGACCTGGCGTGGCTTTGTGGTATAATACTTGATCGGCACGCAGAACGCTAGGTTTAGATTTCTGCTGGAACAGTGGCATTTATTTTTTGCATCCGTCTGATCAACGCTGGCTCTGTCACCCTTTTCTTAACCATAAAGCTTTGAAATTAACTCATCTGTGTTGTTGCCGTTCCTGGGTAAATATAAAATGTCAACCACCGTGGAACACAACCGCATGCCAGTGGCAAATACTCTCCCTCAGACATGTGCCACTGTTTTTACAGCAAAATCTGCTATGAGATCACAACTCGGGTAATGCGCAGTTGTCCGCCACCGCCGGTGTCCATAACCACACCACGTGAAATCCGAAAAAAAAAAAACCTAGGCCTAAAGACACAGTGGAGTTCGAAACCCGGGACTGCTGGGTGCCAGCCCAGTATTCTACCACTGAGCTAGCTAGGCCAGTGCTTGTGACTTGTTGGCAAGCCTAGCATCAAAGACACAGTGGGGCTTGAACCCGGGTGCTCTGGGTGCCAGCCAAGTATTCTACACCTGAGCCACACTGGTGCTTGTGACTTGTTGGCAAACTTGCCTTAGGCAGGCTTGATGTCGGGAAAACAATCGCGTTAATATGATTTATAGAGCGTTATAAAACAGCGAAAGAACAACCAGTCGTCGCACAATGCGAATAGCGTAATGAGTGGGCCGTCCAATGCACCAACCCATTACAAAAGCTTGTTCTTGTTCCAGCGAAATGGACATTTTGTGACTCCCAGCGGGCACTTCAGCTAATTTGAAAATATACATGAAACAAGTCACTGCATACAGTCCCCTGGTGTGTGACATAATAAATATGTTGAATGAGGCGTTTCAATCCGGACATACCATTGCGTTGCAATGAATTCCCAGTCATTGTGGCATAGCTGGAAATGAATAGGCTGATTCAGATGCGAAAATGGCACACAGTAGTGACGAAGTACTATCAATTCACTTTTCCCAATATGACATCAACGCCTTGCTATCTAAAGGTATGAAGACATCTATGCAAGCACTATAGAATGATCCGGATTATCGCCACGAGCGCATTTACAGGCTTGACTCTTGTCATGCCTTTCGGCTTCCGTTCCGAATAAGGAGAGACCAAGAAACGTATACTACATAGACTGCGGCTGGGTGTCGCATACATGCGACGATACTTATGCAGGATTGGGCAGGAGCAAAATCCTAACTGCAACTTGTGTAACACGCCATAGGCTATTAATCACATCCTGTGCGTGTGCCCTTTATACGCAGTTTAAATACAATCTCTTAAGCGCCTTAGGATGACCTTGACTGCCGACCCTTTCGGAAGAGAAACTTTTGGGTGCTGGGAATGTGTGGATCACGCCCAACGCAGTTCAAAAGGCATGCTCGCATTTCTAAGCAAGACAGGTTTAGATTCCAGTCTTCAGAGCATCTGCTAATGTAGAGACTTTTGTGCGCGTATTACACCGAAAGAGACATTGTGTGCAGTGACTCATTGTGCTATACCCCAATCACCCCTCATCATACCCTCCTCTTTCTTTGCCTTTTCCCCTTACCCCTGTGAGGAGTAACAGGGCCGGAAACCCGCTTTCAAGGCTTTCTTCTTCTTCTTCTTCTTCTTCTTCTTCTTCTTCTTCTTCTTCTTCTTCTTCTTCTTCTTCTTCTTCTTCTTCTTCTAACTCTGGCGCATACCCACTTCAGTCATAATTCCTCATCGTCGTCAGCCACTGCATCAATAATTGGCACAAAATTTCTTTCAAGTTTTTAGCGGATACCATGCTTATCAGAAGAATGACAAATGATAGCACAGGGAACACCGGCCCACTATTCAAAAAATTATTAATAATGACCTAGTGCAATAAAGCAAGCTTGCTCGCAGTAGTTACCCAATGAGAGTTTTGAAAAGGCTCTGGAAGGCCGCTCTTTTAACTTTCGCTGCGACTGTGCTGCGTTTTCCGCGCTGGCCTGACATTTTGGAAAGTGTTTCACGAGGTACGCGACGAGATTGTGACATATTCACGTCATGACCAGAGTGTGGTGTTCGTCAAACCATCCTAACTTATTGTACTAACTTTGGTGTTCCCCAAGTTAAGGGGGTAATCAAGAGAGCAACCAGACGTAGGCGGATAGATAGATAGATAGATAGATAGATAGATAGATAGATAGATAGATAGATAGATAGATAGATAGATAGATAGATAGATAGATAGATAGATAGATAGATAGATAGATAGATGCCAAAAGTGCTTGCAGTAAGCAAAGAAATGCTTCGCATTTAATACCTTCCCTCCTTGTTTTTGCCTGCTTGTCTGTCTGGGCTTTTGCGAGACTACATCGCCTGACCGCGGCCCGCTGGCTGAGGTGAATTTCGGACCCCTGTAATAGAGCGTGATTTATTTGTCGTGCTCTGTTCGTGTGCCGTTATATTTATCTGTAGCAGCATAATCTTCCTTCTCATTAGAAAGTTTCTCCTCTACATCACCTACTCATGGCGCTTTCAAACTACATGCATTCATGATGACGTCACTGATGTTTCCACGTAGTGTTAAACAACGCTTTTCACTCTTTCCACAGGGACATGGCGAATGTAACTAAGAGAGAATTCGGCACACTTTTGGCGTTATTTCTTGTATTAGCTGAAGTCTTCGGTGAAGGGAAGGACCCCTCGGATACCAGTGTCGTAGACGCTTTCAAGGTATGAAAGTTATTTGTTCTCGTTTTTATTGAGAAATAGTTGTACAATCAATTTGCTGCCTAGAGTTAGGCATGCCAGACCGAAAGCGTAGGATTTATCTTCTCTCTTATGAAAGAGGCAGAGACTCTTTGTGCGGGCGTTCGCGTGAGCGCGTTTGTCCGTACTTTGCGTAAATGTGGGCTTGCCGGCCTTAAGCGTTGGTTCGTTAACACAAATGTCAATTGCAATGCCTCAGCATCCTAAGGCTCAGCATTAGCGAATAAAGCACCTCGCGGATTGCCAGGCACTGGTCACGGCACCTTCTAACGTAACAAATCGAAAATCAAGCGAACAGATGAATAATAAGTGATATTACCTATATAAGTCAGAATAAAGATAACAATTCTGGTTTACACATAATATGAAAAGAATATCCAACTCAAATGGCCAAGGCTATAAACTACAACATGGCTTCCATCAACGAAGCCAAAGCACTCTGGCAAGCGATAGTTGGCGGACGAGAGCATGGTGAAGAGGCTCTAAAGCCAAATAATCTCACCCCCGTATTTTACGCTGCAGCTGCTCCTTTTTATCATCCTAAAATGAATGTAAAATACTTTAAATATAGCTGCATGCAAACAGAATTTATTGAACTGATAATTCAATATAAAAGCGGACGACAGAAATGAGTATACGCTTTCGTACTTCACTTACTCCATGACGTGTCAGCCTAGAGTTGTCTTGCTTTAATAAAAACACGGCTTAAATTTTGCTGTACCATAATGCTGTCGCATATGGCGGCCTTTGTGCCCTGGGTAGGTGCCGCTATCTCTGACAGATTCGATGCCGCGCAGTTTAGCACAAGGCGCTATGTGCACAAGTGCATGGTCGAAACACACCAGAAACGAAGAGCGGCTCCTACTAGAAGGACATTGAACACGAGCTATCACAATAATAATAATAATAATAATAATAATAATAATAATAATAATAATAATAATAATACACAGCTTTGTGGCAAAAGTGAAGCAATGAACGCGATAGCAATGAAGTGGAAGGTTACGCGAATAATGGCAAGAACATAGAAACGTGCCCCGCGTTTCTCGTTCGCAAATCACGCACAAAACGCACTCGCAGGTACAGAAGTTGTTACTTTGCTGTATCTGAAATGCGCGCCCTCGCCCCGTCGTTTTGGTCTCAGCTGCTTACCCGCAGCTGCTTACCCGTAAGTACTCGGCTGCTTACCCGCACGTCGCGGGATCGAATCCCGGCTACGACGGCCGGCTTCATTTTCTATGAAGGCGGAAATGCTGTAGGCCCGTGTGCTTTGATTTGGGTTTACGTTAAAGAGCCGCGGGTGATCTGAATTTCCGGAGCGTTTCTCATTAATCATATGGTGGCTTTGGAACGTTAAGCCCGACATATCAATCATCAAGTAAAAGCGCGCCATTTTCGCCAACGGAGACTGTGCAGCAAGTGCAGTTATGTTTCTGCGCCCTGTAGCTACAACCGAATCGTTCCGGTGGAAGCCCAAGGCGCACGATTATCCCCACCGCGAGATGAGCGCGAGCACGCGTGAGCATTCACCCGGCGCCTCTCTCCGCGGGGCAAAGTACGCCTGGAAGAAGAGAGGGCGCGCCAACGCGTCGTGACGATCTGGCGACGCGCGTTCATTGCTACATCTCGATGGTAATGCGTAAAGCACAATAGTTCCCCGAGATGGCCATCGGCTGCGGTAAGTGGTAAATATAAATAGCTTGCGATTTCAACGTTGAAGCAGGTGCTCCTTCGTGGCTCAGTGGCTCACGCCTTGCACTCACAAGCAAGTCGACCGTTCGAATTCGCGTGCCGGAGTTTTTTCTGTATTATTTTTCTTTCTTCAATTTTCATGTATATATAGAGATACGCATACATATACGGTGAATGACACCGACGCCCATGTCGACATCGACGCCAGTGGCAAAATTTAGCCAAGACTGTCCACATGATTGCTATCGCAATAATAAAAAAAAATAGACACTACGAAGGCTGAAAAAAAGATACTAGATAAGGATGCACTAAAAAACTGGTTCTGACTGACGCAGAAAGAACGGGATCAGAAACGAGTAGGTTGAAACACGGAGCAGTAGTATATGTTACCATTTAATACTTAGTGGACCGCTTCTAGAAAGGTCGCTGCCGTCAATATTTGTGCTCTATTTCCACGAAGAAAGTATAGTCATGATGTGTGCACTAGATACCAGGAGATAAGTCATTCGCATTGCATTATGTGTACGCATGTCTCAGAAGTGCGCAAAATCCTCTTATGCTTTCACATTGCAGATCTTTCGTACTTTGCCGCACGGCACAACCATATTTGATATGGATGGTGATGGGGACCTCGATTGTGTTACCGCTGTTCGTACCGAATTCAGCGAAGATCCCCTGGAAACAACATATGTTCTACTCTTCAAAGGCCTCGGCGGGAAAGAACCGTGAGCTGCAATTATAACAATTTAATGGGGCGATAAGGACAAATTTAAGGAGAAAGAAGGACAAGAACAACAAGAGAGAAACGCAGGGAGCTTAACCATGCACATGGCCAGTTCGCTACCCTACGCTGGGGGAATGGGAAAGGGGTGTATAAAGATGAGCGAGAAAAGCACCAGCGTGGCTCAGTGGTAGAATACTGAGCTGTCCCGCAGCGGACCCAGGTTTGAGTATCAGGAGAAGAATGCAGTGAATATCAAAGGAATCATTTACGCAATCAATCGATAAATTTGACGGTGAAAATTACCTTTCATTTTATTGCTATATGGTTGAAAACTTGTTTTGCCTAATTTCTGCTGTCGGCGTCATTGAACCTGAGAGACAACTCAGCGTTGTTAGCGAGCGAAAAACTGAAATACATTCCAAATAAATAAAGAGTCTTGGTTATAGTGGGAATCAAACCGACGTCACCTTCACGGCAAGCGAGTATTCGACCATACATTCATGTCAATGCTTTAAATGGCATCGAAAGAAAGACATGTATGAATGTTACATAAGTAAGCAGTCTCAACGTATATGACATTGCGGTGCAGAAGCGTAGTCTCCATGCAGGCCTCAGTATGTGTAAATTGTATAGCGAGTTGACGATTTGAAGGCCCACTCTTTTCTACCATAATTAGTCGTCATCAACAGGAGCAACATCCTTATCAAAATATGCAGCTTCCCCGCCTAGTAGGCTTTAGGCTCACGTAGTGGGCACTTGGACCAGTTTGCAAAAGGAAGAATTATGGTGAAGTCGGAACTTCTCAATCGTATCTTCATATCAGATAATTTGAAATGGTCAAGCCAAGTCTTACAGAGCACGACTCATCTTTGAAGTCTTCCGGGGGCATCGAATTTGCGGTTTCATTGCAGAGAATGCGCCTGCTGTTCTGTTTTACAGGACACTTGAGTGGTTTTTTGTAGTAACAATAAGCTACCCCGCGATATGACTGAAGCATTTTACATAAAAAATAGCAGATCAGAGCGTCAGCCAACCTTCGATGTTGCGACATGAAAGGGAGTTTTCTTTTCTAGGTATTGTTTTCGGATAATCTTTTTACATTTGGTAACTGACCGCATCGTCTGGCTATGGTTGTCCTTTGCGTTACACGCATGGCTTGATCGTCAATTGATGCATTATATTCCCCCTTCCAAAAAATCTTTTAGTTGTGAGTAAGCCCTTGTCCTGTGTTCCTTTGCAGCCTTTTCGTGCGCTTAAACACCAACCATATTATGCATCTCAACCAACTGGCCCAAGTGTCAATTCTCTTGCAAGTCATTGCTACCAACACAGATATTCTTGTCGTGGAAGGCAGGTTCCATCTGTTCACCAAGAAGAGAAGCTAGAATAGACCTTCAGATGGAGACATGAGCGGGACTAGATTAAGCTATTGCTTTTCTGCCCGAGAAAGCGAAGCTCACGCTTCTTCAAACGTTCTTTTTGCTCAGTCAACAGTCAATTTCTAGTTTATTAAGCCTCTAAGCATTTCGAATTATTAAGTGCGACAAGGAATATGCGCGTATAGCAGGAACGTCCGCCATTATTGCAGCGAACAGGTGGTGAATGCGCCAGAAGAGAGGAAGGAGTGATGACTGAAGACGAATAGGCAGAAGTGGGTTGTGGATTGCGGGCTCGTGACCAGCTCAGAACGGAATAAGAACAGCCGGCCCAACGTACGGCCGTTGTCTTTTACTTCTCGTTATTACAATTACAGGGATTACGAATAGCAGGGATGGCTCTGGAATGTTAACAAAATTTATACTGCAGTCTAACCTCGTTGTTACGAACACTGCTATAGCAATTTATCACTTATAGTGAACTAATCACGAGCTTTGGTTAGTCATGCATCATTTCAGTGAACATTTACTAACATGGAGAACGCAAAAGTCGCCGCGATTTTTGTTATAACAAAGAATTCTTTGTTCGTGTGGGGGTCAGCTCTATAGGTAGCCTAAAATACCAGTTATATGCTAAAAGGTAATTCACAACTTCATTTTCATGTGAAATACAGTTGTAGCGTCGATATTTGACTTGAAAGTGTACGTAATCTTCTGCAGAAATTTCAATAAGACAGGTCCCACAAATGTTGTTCATATGGTTAAGTCTTCTGGAAGCTACATGATGGAACTCTAAACGTCCGAAACTATTGCACGCAGAAACCCCTCTACTAGATCCTCATCATCATCATAATCACCACCACCACCATCACCACCACCACCACCATCATCATCATCATCATCATCATCATCATCATCATCATCATCATCATCAGCCTGACTACGTCCACTGCAGAATATAGGCATCTCCCATATTCCGCCAGTCTACTCGGTCCTGTGCTTGCTGGTGCCAATTAATACCCACAAACTTCTTAATATCAGCTGCTCACCTACCTTCTGTCTCCCCCTAACCCGCTTACCTTCTCTGGGAATCCAGTTAGTTACTCTTAATGACCAGCGGTTATCTTGTCTACGTGCTACATGCCCGGCCCATGTCCATTTCCTCTTCTTGCTTTCAACGATGATATCCTTAACCCCCATTTGTTTCCTAATCCACCCTGCTCTCTTCTTGTCTTTTAAGGTTACACCTACCACTTTTCTTTCCATTGCTCACTGCGTCGTCCTCAATTGAAGCTGAATCCTCTTTGCAAGTCTCCAGGTTTCTGCTCCATAGCAAAGTACCGGCAAGATGCAGCTGTTATATTCCTCTTGAGGGATAGTGGCAATCTACCTGTCATGATTTGAGAGTGCTTGCCAAATGTACGCCACCCGATTGTTATTCTTCTAGTTACTTCAACCTTGTGGTTCGGCTCCGCGGTTGTTACCTGCCCTAAGTAGACATAGTCTTTATAACTTGAAGTGCACTATTACCTATCTCGAAGTGCTGCTCTCTTCTGAGGTTCTTGTACATTACTTTCATTTTCTGCAGATTAATTTTAAGACCACCTTTCTGCTCTCCTTGTCTAACTACGTAATCATGAGTGCGATTCGTCCCCTGAGTTACTCTGCAATGCAATGTCATCGGTGAAGCGCAGGTTACTAAGGTACTCTCTATTAACTGTTATGCCTAACTGCTTCCATTCTAGGCCTCTGAAAACCTCCTGTAAGCAAAGGTAAATAGCATTGGGTAGATTGTATCAACCTGCCTAACACCCTTCTTGATTGGTATTTTGTTGCTATCTTTATGAAGCAATGTGGTAACAGTAGATCGCCTGTATATTTCTTGCAGGATGTTTATAAATACTTCATCGACTCCCTGATTCCGCAGTGTCTGCATTACTGCTGATATTTCTACTGAATCAAACGCCTTCTCGTAATCTATGAAGGCTATGTATAGTGGCTGGCTATATTCTGAGCATTTTTCTATTCCCTGATTGATAGTATGAATGTGCTTGATTGTTGAGCAGCCTGTTCGAAATGCTGTTTGTTCTTTTGGTTATTATATTCTAATGTTTTCTTACCTCGGTTAGCAATTACCTTGTAAACAGCTTGTATACTACGAAGAGCAAGCTGATCGGCCTGTAATTCTTCAAGTCCTTGTCCTCCTCTTTTTTTATGTATTAAGGTGATGTTAGCATTCTTCCAAGACTCGGGCACTCTTCCCGTCAGGAGACACCTCGTAAACAGGGTGGCTAGTTTTTCTAACACAATCTGTCCTCCATCTTTCAGCAGATCTGATGATACCTGGTCCTCACCAGCAGCTTTACCTCTTTGCATGCTCTCCAAGGCTTTCCTGACTTCTATCATTACTGGTGGGGTGTCATCTGGGTTACTGCTAGTTCTTATAGTATTAAGATCGGGGTTGTCCCGGCTACTGTACAGGTCTCTTTAAAGCTCCTCCACTATTTTAACTATCCTACCCATATTGGTAGTTAATTTTACCTTCTTTGTCCCTTAGCGCATACATCCAATTTTCTGCTTATCCCCAGTTTTCTTTTCACTGCTTTGACGCTTCCTCCGTTTTACAGAGCGTGTTCAATTCTCTCCATGCTATACCTTCCTACATGTAATACCTTACGCCTATTAGTCAACTTCGAAAGCTCTGCCAACTCTATTTTATCTGTTATACTTGAGGCTTCCATGCTTTGACGCTTCTTAATGAGGTTCTTCGTTTTCTGAGACAGCTTGCCAGTGTCCTGTCTAACTACCCTTCCTCCAACTTCCACTGCGCACTCCGTAATGATACTTGTCAGATTATCATTCATTGTATCTATGCTAAGGTTGGTTTCCTCACTAAGAGCCGAGTACCTGTTCTGAAGCGAGACTCTGAATTCCTGTGCTTTCCCTCTCAGTGCTAGCTCATTGATTGGCTTCTTGCGTATCAGTTTCTGTCGTTCCTTTCTCAAGTCTAGGCGAATTCAAGACCGTACCATTCTATGGTCACTGCATCGTACCTTGCCAAGAACTTCCACATCCTGCACGATGCCTGGGTGTGCACTCATGATAAAGTCTATTTCGTTCTTATTTTTGCCATTAGGGCTCCTTCATGTCCACTTACTGTTTCCTCGTTTTTGGTAGAAGGTATTCAAAATCTGTAAATTATTGCGTTCTGCGAATCCTACTAGTAGCTCTCCTCTGGCAATTTTAGTACCTATGCCATATTCTCCCACTGCCTGGTCTCCAGCCTGCTTCTTCTCTACCTTCGCTATAAAGTCTCCCGTCAGTATAGTATACTGTTTTTTTACCTTACTCATTGGCGATTCCACGTCTTCGTAGAAACTTTCAGCTGAACCGTCATCATGGCTGGACGTAGGCGCGTAAGCCTGTACCACCTTCATCTTGTATCTCATATTGAGTTTAATTACAATACCTACCACCCTTTCATTATTGCTATAGTATTCCTCTCTGTTGCCAGCTATGTTTCTGTGAATAAAGAACCCCACTCCCAGTTCTCTTCTGTCAGCCAAGCCCCGATAGCAAAGGATGTGCCCATTCTGTAGCACTGTATAGGCTTCATATGTCCTCCTAACCTCACTGAGCCCTATTATATCCCATTTAACACCCTCTAGCTTCTTGAATAGTACAGCTAGACTTGCCTCACTAAATAAGGTTCTGGCGTTAAACGTTGCCAAGTTCAGTTTCCAATGGCGGCCTGTCCGGATCCAGAGATTATTAGCACCCTCTAAGAATACCTGGATCCCAACAGGCCACTATGGTGCCTATCTACTAGATAGACACCATGAAAAACATGTTGTGACGAGTATATGCGTATTTATCTCCTCATTTAGGGCAATTCAGAAGGCTGATCTACCCGAATTGATTTCACATACCTCTTTTTATAACGAATACCAATTATGAAAAAGTAAACTATAATATTCATGTTCTTTTTTATGCGGAGGTTATACTGTACTACGTTGAAAGGGAACGATAAAAAAACAAGAAAAATTTTAAGGTCGTCAAAAGTATCAAAATAGGCATGGGTTGACCATAGTGACTGTTAAACGTACGAAAAAATTATTACTGTAATTAAGCTATGACGTTCGGCTACATGGCTCTTAACCGAATATCGTACAATTTTGGAATAGGCAGTATTAATACAAAACCTCAGTACTGGGATTGCCATACAAGAGAATGACTCTTGATACACTGTTATTTTTTTTAAACCCCTAAAGAACACGGTACATAGTTTGCTTCCTTTAGAGTAAAAATGTGTGAGTACACTGTGGCTTTAGGGAGCACTATTTTAAGACTGATTGTTGATAAAATACTACTGTATAGTATGTCTTAAAATTTATTTCCTCAGTTTAAAACAGTGCCACTCAGCAATAAAAACAAACATATGGCAGTATTGCAAGTAGCCCGTACTGAGCTTCTGAAATAGACAAAAACGATTTGTATGGATCATTATTATTATTAAGAAATTGACGGCAGAAAAAAATAGGTACTCACACAGCGGCATGTGCATGTATCAGAAGATATGATAGCCTGTGAAGCCCGAACCAAAAAGTGAAAAGTTTAATCACTATTTCTTGTACTATTGGTGGGATCAGCTGAACAAAAATTAATTATGATATATTGACGAGCCGTCAGCCTTCAAACGTTTCACTGCAGTACAAGGGCTTTTATGCACAGCAACGCTGAGGTGTGGTCTTCGGCATTATTACGATTCTAGTAGATGTGTGCCAGGTACCGAAAACTGTGGCATTGGTTCACGTGTGTTGGGTCATTTCTTCGTACGAAAACTGATCCACCACATTACACTCATCCCGTACAAAAACCCATCCACCACATTACGCTCAATGGTGGGCGACATTTGGCTGCGTAACTTTGCTCTACCCAACTACAAAGAAGTCAAAGCTATTAAAATACGTGCATGGCAGAATAATTCCTCATCTTTTGTGACTCTGTCCTCAGCTGTTTCTCTTGAAGGGCCTAAACACCGGAATCGGGTGGTAACTTAACAAGAAACTAAGTTCAACGCGAGTTTTGCCTGCTACAAGAAATTCTGCGAAGAATGTTCACAAGAAACACACAACTTGACGTAAACTTATCTTATTTTCACATCTAAAAACAAAGCGTGCCTCCTTTTTCAGTCTCGCTGCGGTAACTGATTGAGAAAATGACAAAAAAAAAAACTCCGGAAGGCCTGACTTTGGATGTGTCCATGACAAATGTAATAGTTGCGCGAACTTTCTGTCTTAAAAATCCTCTGGTACTGGTGCAAAGAGAAGAAAACTGAAATGCTTTTCACCCTCCACTATCTTGTGTACAGATGGACGCCGTGTGTCGGATTTTCGTGACGCGGATAGCAATAACGACATGACCGAGCTACCTTTAGACGCAGCTGTACCTTTCGGTTAAACATGCGACGCAAAAGTCAAGGCGCACACATGAAATGTTTGAATTGGAACGATTTATTTGTTCACTACGGAAAACACGTACTACTTTTTACACAGCCATGAGTATGTTCACAGCTAAGATAGTAAAAATTCGTAGCAAGGCCAACTCCAGGTTAATTTTTGTGTTTGAATATTGTTTTCGTTCAGAGATCACGGTGACAGCCGTATCAAGTGTATTAAACACTGTATTTGGGGAGTTGGTCGGAGAGCCTTGGTAATTTTGAAGTTCTAAACAACCAATAAAACACCATCTTACATGTCATATGCTCAATAGCCCAATTTGGACAATACATTGAGTTTGAATGCATGGTTTATATGATAATTTCCGAGCTTCTGTCCACCGGCTTTCATTCATTATCAAATATTTAATGAATATTTCAGACGTAACATATCATTTCACATCAAGCCTGGTCGAACGCCTGACAGAACGCAGTTTACCGTTGATGATGGTAAGTAAGAACGCAAAGTAATATAAATCATTGAATTTATTTGTTCACCGCTGTTACAGGCTTGTAACACGATTGCAGTCATCAAAAACTCTAAAAGAAAAAGCCAGAAATTTTCTAGACTCAGATTACTTTTGCAGTTCAATGGCACGATTAAGGAAAACAAAGAATGAAACTGTTCAATGAAATGAGTTTTCTTATAGGAGCGTCCACATTGCTCATGATGTTCACATTAGTTTTCAGAGAGGACGAATGCAGTACATGACCTTTTTTTTAAATTCCAGAAACTCTCGTCTTTTTCTTAGGTGAAAATTGTAGCATCAACATGCTACCATTTATTGCTCACTTGTGGCTGATCACATTTTCATCGTAATTCTGTCATGAGCAAATTTATTTGTGGTGATGTGGTGATGAGTGGTAGAGGGTAGTTTCTTTGCGACGTCACTGGTTGCAGGCAGCACTGTTGAGAGTCCGACGTGAAAAAAAAAAAAAGTGCAAAGGCCATACACTTGAACTCGTATTCGGCAGATAAGCATTCTTCTCCTTCAAGCTAGTGCAGACTAAACATTGCCTGGGAAAGCGACCTCCAGGCTGCATGTCAAAGGTCGAAAATAGAAAAGAACTGCTTTTTTGACGCCGGATAATGTAGAGAGAATGTGGAGTTGCAAAAACAGCTTCAGGGTGAGTGTTCTTAGTCACGGTTCGCAAGTGACTATACTAGCACGCTTGGATTGCCTATGAGTGGATAGTGAACTAGGAGGAACGGCTCCAAGTGACCAAGGCGGGTATGAAAAACACCGCTTGTGTTGCACAGGAATTGTACATCACAACCGAGCATGCGATTGTGCTAGTTTATGCGGGTTGGCAGTGCGGCGGGTACCTACGCACAATTATCGGGAGCATTGTTTGCAGTATTATCATGTTCGTTGGAGATGACGTAACAGTAAGCTAGGACTAACCGATGTGCTACGTCTTGCAGACGTTTTGCCTACTCATCGTTTATAGCTGCCTCATTTACAGCATAAATATCTATATTCTTTGAAGAAACACGCCTACACGTTTTAAATCAGGCTTGAGTGCTTCGTTATTTTTCAACACATGGGCTTAGTATTTCATTTATTCTTTCGTATCAGCCATGGTCCTTTCCTACAGTCATTCCTTGTGTCTTCGAATATTCGCCATCAACAAATACTTTTCTATATCTAAATCTATTTGTAAGCGCTGGGAAATAGCCGCGAGGCATGCACACCGCAAGTCCTCTTTTTGTACAGCGAAGGAGCAAGAAGAAAAAAGGAAGCTCAACAAAACGCGCATACGGTTTGCTACCCTGCGCGGGAGGGAAGAGACAAAGCGATTAGGCGATAATGAGAGGACGTGGCTGCTAGTGGTGACAGTGATCACGAGCGCGTTCGTGACGCATGGTGACTGCATCCGGTAAACAATCATTCTCTTTGTGGTGCTCGGTTGCACAAGGGAGGGACCACAATCATTCGAAACGCAGGCATGCTAGCTCGTACTAAGTCGTGTGGAGGGGCACGCGAGCGCTGTGTATGGCGCCATGGCAAGCAAGGCTCCGCCGACCCGACTAAGAATTGCAGATTGAACAGTCGTCTACCATAGGTTCTCACCATGCTGTACAAACCCTGCCACTCGCCCTCTATGCAGCCACACGCTTCGAGGATAACGCTTTAATCATGAAGCGCTAAGCATAATTTTAACGCTTAAATACTTCTCGACTAGAAATGTTAAGAGAGAGAAGAGAGAAACGAGAAAAAAAGGAAGGCAGGGAGGTTAACCAGATGCTAGTATCCGGTATGCTACCCTTCACTGGGGTTGGAGAATAGGGTGTTGAAAGAGAAAGGGAGAGTTAAAAAATAAATAAGAGAAAAACACCGACACACACGCACACACAAAATCAGTCCACTCAGAGGCGTTCCGACAGGCCAGTAGTTCGCAAGAAGCCCAGTAGCGCTTGCACGGCTTTCTTCTGTGACGATGAGTCATGACGATGGCGCAGTATACTTTCTTCTGACAGCGGCTGGTCATCTAACCTGTTTAGTTTATTAGAAAGGTGTTGTCTTTCCAGGTTGTATTTCGGGCAGTCACACAGGATATGTCGAATTGTTTCTTCATCTCCGCAGTGTGCACAGTCGGCGGTGTCGGCCATACCTATGCGGAACGCGTACGCGCGGGTAAACGTGACTCCCAACTATAGTCTGCACAGAGAAGTAGCGTCGCCTCGTCGAATATTTGTTGGAAGCTGTGCGCTTAACGTTGGATCAAGGGATCGTAATCTTGCATGCGTAAAGAGAGGCTCATTCGAAAGAGCCATGGAGCGTTGGCGAGTAAGCATGCGGAGCCTCCTAGCAGCGTCCGTCCTTAAGAGAGGTATTGACTGGTTGTTGTCTTCTGTATGGGCTGAACGGGCAGCTTGATCAGCTTGTTCGTTACCGATAATTCCACAGTGGCTTGGCAACCACTGAAATATAACGTGGTGCCCTTTCTCTGATATATGGGGTAGCATTTCTGCTGTTTCAAATACCAACTGCTCGTGTGGACCACGGCGTACATTTGGCAGAAGTGACTGCCTTGCAGTCGCAGAAAATCGTCCACCGTTGCGTGCTTTGGTCGTTAATGAAACGCAGCGCAGCGCGAAGTGCTGCAAGCTCTGCTGCCGTTGTTGTGGTTGCATGAGCTGTCCTGAATTTGATGGTTGTGGCGTGCCTTGCAATAACGACCGCCGCAGTTGAGCTGTTTGGCAGGACGGAGCCGTCAGTGTAGACGTCGGTGCAGTCTTCGTACTTCTCGTACAGCAGAAGTAAGGCGAGCTGCTTGAGGACTGGTATTGGGAAATCACGTTTTTTCTGGATGCCTGGTATTGTCAGGTTGATGACTGGCTGTTTGAGGCACCATGGAGGAATTGAAGGTCTCGCGGCGGGCGTAAAACCAGTTGGTAGGGAGTCACCATGTGTAGTTATTGTACGACAAAAGGAAGTATGAGGTCTATCCGCTGGTAGAGAGGCTAGGTGGTGATGGGGAGTGTGGCCCACATGCCTTATGTGTGTCCTCAAAGCTTCAATTTCAATATGGGTCTGCACGAGGTGGTCTTTGGCTATAGCTATAGTCGCCATTGTTGAGGCACCCTGAGGCAGACCTAGACATATTCGAAGCGCCTGTGCCTGAACGCTTTGTATCATGCCTCGACTTGTTTTGCTGGCGTTTGATAATGCAGGCTGCGAAATGTTAAAATGTTAAAAAGCACAAGAAGGTGGTGTTCGCAAGCAGCCGCCGAAAAAGCCGGGTCCAGAAAACACCTGACATTTTATATCGCAACTTACGACAGGGCCAATGACTTCTGCAGCAACCAGCTACAACCACAGCTCACAAAATACGCGCAGAAGACTTCGCAGCACCCCTCCGTTATAACAGTTTAGTAAGAATGTGCCTTGGCATCATCAGCACCTTTCTTATTTGGAGAATCTCACGCTTCGACGCGCTGATGTGTTGGTACGCGTAGACTCATATGTCAGTTTTTCAAACAGTTGTGCGATGAACCAACCACGTGACCACAACGGGGAAAGTGGTCTGTCATAATATGCGCCAGACTAAGACTACGTCAGTTGCTAACAGTGTGCGCGCCACCACAGACTAGAGGTTTTTGGTTAATATGGCACAGTCTTCTCAAATAATGCTCTAATTTACCGAAAATCACCTCTCCCAGATGGGAGGCGGATATGCGCAGCTCGTACTTGGCAGATCAGCTCTGGGCTGTTCGTTAAGCCGCGAGGCGCCTGAGGAGCTCGGCATCTCAGTCCCCACGTGGGAGCTGCCCGCAACACAGTGATCTGTGTTTTGGAAAACCAAATAAAAGTTTATCCAATCCAATCTCAAATAATGCTGTAGTACTATCAAACCTTTAGACAGGAAATAACGGAGGTGTTTCCTAATGTCTCAAATCTTTTATTTCTAGGTTTGACACACTCTGACGACCGCTAGACGTTATCGCTCCTTCAGCTGGGTTCACTTTTGCGTTCTGTCTCGAGCGCGCGTTGCCTGGCAGCGCAACTTTATCGTCATCGGCGAAAATAATGACGGATTTCCATTCACCAAATCGAGATGGCATGTGTCCAAAGCCCAGTACAAGCCATTCAATACCTGCAGTCAATTTATACGGCTGTAGGCCGAGTGCCAACATGTTAGTCGTTGGTGATACTTCGTAAAACAGAAGACCGTGACACACCTTGAGAGACTCCCTTCTGTAGGGAACGAAGTCGGGCAATTGTTAAAATAAAGGTACTTTAGCCTGGAAACTGCTCCGCTACAGAACGATTGGATATCCACATTCATAGTGTGCCTGATCTTCTCAGTCCGTCCTCCTATAGTGCCGAACACCATAGGTCTCAAGGATATTTCTAGCGAACGTAACAGTGCACTCGGCACAATGTTGGTTATTGTCGTGCTGAAAATTTTCCTCATTCAACTTTTTGCAGATTACCATTTTGTTCAACATGCCCGTTTTCAATACACAAACTATGAGAACTGCGCCGTCATGGAGCAACCCTTTAGAGGTGTGCGGGGTAAGAAAAACCATGCTTGCCTTGCTGCACTGAAAAAAAAAAAAACAGTGCTTGTGTGTATCATTGCAAAGGCGTTGGCGACAGACTGACATCGAAGAAGCAGAGCAAGAAATTTGTACTACAGTGCTTAAAAAATCTGAAATACAATTTGCTTAATCAAGCAGCCCGCAGTACCTCAAATTATATTAAGGATCTTCTAAATGCGTAAAAATGTTTATTAAAATGCTAATCCATTATTCTTTACCAATGGAATGTTCGATAAATACTGATGCTACAGTAAGTGTCGTATATTCAAGGAACCATGAAGATTGAACTATAGAAATACAGAAAAATGTTTCACAATAATAATGATCAACCTTTAGGTATGCAGCACTTGTCTGTACACTTCATCTCTATATATGTTGACTTCTTGACTTTTTTTGTTGTTTTCATTGCCGCTCTGCTTATGAGTGCTTGTTTATTTATTTACAATACAGCTTCAGATATATTATGAAATGAAATTGTGAAATAAAGTCCAATGTGCTGTTTGAATAAATCTCAGAACTGCGATCCGTATATGCAACAACAAATCCGAGCCACCCACTGATGCAGTAGAAAGTACAAAACAGGAACCTTAACTAGAAACTCGTTAATTTGCCACGTTCATCTAACTAAATTCTGTGATTCTGTCCAAACTTAGCAATAATATTCTCCGGTGGTCTCTTTTGCACTGAGGTGCAGAAACTATTCCTTGCACATTTTTGTTGTGCGCAAGCAAATTTGCCCTACCTATCGCGATGTCAAAAATTTTAAGAAAAAAAAACAACACATGACGTTTTAGCTCCAAGTTGTGGCCAGTGCTTTGGTGAGGAGGCACTGTGGTGCTCGTACAAATTTCATTAAGCTAGTAAAGCAGGGATTTTCTCCTCCATTTCGGCAACGTGCCTGACCTGCTTGTACGTTCTTGGAGAGACCACTTGGACGTTATTCAAGATTCGGGCACTTTTGGCTCTGTATGGTGCTGTCTAATGTGTTTCCACTAAAGACAACATTGCTTGGCACAAAGACGAATCGTCTGTCATTTTGTAGCACTTCAGCACTCCCTGTGATGAATTGAGAGACTTGCGTTACAACACATATGTCCTTGTTCGTGCTATTTATGTTTTTTTTTTCTATTCATTCCACAGAGTGTGTATTGTGGACTACGCAAGACACTTTTCATGAAATGCCCGAAGATTGCATGCTAGAGTACGGGAAGAGCTGTAAGGATGCAGTGAAGCCTTATGACGAAGAAATCTGTGCTGAATTTGTTCCATAGGACATCCTTTGTTGTGCATTTGTCATCAGCTCTGACAAGTTGTCAATAAATTCAATAAATGAAGGCCAGCCAGAATGTACTTTATAAACAGTTAAGCACAATCCGCTGCACGCATGGAGCTGCAAGTGGGATAGCCAGCATTTTTGTTTAGCTCTTTTAAGTGAGAATTTGAAAAAAAAATCCAGTGCTGAAAATTTCATGTGGTGTGCTTCTATTTGCTTCGTCTCAGTAGTCTCATATATGGGCTATCGCAAGGCAAGTCCGCAAACACTGCGAATTGTGGCATCTTTTTCTGTTGTAAAAAGAATTCAACGCATGGTTAGAAAAAGGAAAACAGTCGAGCTGTGGATGACGTGCATTTCGCTGAATGTGATACATTTTCAAAAATCTTTTCAAGTGAATTATCGCTTAGTACAAGTAAATCTGAACCATAATGAGTAACAATGTTTTATACATATCTTTTATGCATGTGTATAAATCTGATCTATAGTGAATTGTTCATCGAAGTTGAATAAAATATAGCCACGAGACCCGCAGTATACTAAGATAAATTGGGCGCTGCAAACATCCGCTGTGGCACTTAAATCGTACTTGTAAAACGAACACTCCTCTTTCCCGCCTGAGATATGTTTGTTGGAATTACGTAAAACCTATAATTTATTTGCCACAACATTTACCGACATATTCCACAGAATCGAATGCAGCAATGTGCTCATAATTATTATTACCTGTGGCTTCGGTGAGCTGTGGCCAGGATTCGATCCCGCGACTAGCGAGTCAGTAATTGAGTGCCTTTGCCGCACGGCTAAGGTTCCGAGTGGCTAAGGCACTCTGTGGCGAGTGAAAAACACGGTTGAGCCCTACTTATGGCAATTGATATAACGTAATTGTAAACGACGCCTTTGCAGAAACAGATAGGTTTTTGTTGTGCATTGATCTACAGGGTGCCCCAGCTATCTTTAGCCAGAATTTAAAAATATGCTGACACACGCAATTATGACGCGACCAAATGCATGTTGCTGCCCGTTGCCCGGAGTTAGAGTATTTTTTGTGTTCTAAAATCTTGTTTACTTGAATAGGTTTAATTGACCCACTTTTTAAGGAACGAATATGAATAAAAAATTTCAGTAAGACAGTTGTAGATCGGTTTGCAGAACGTCTGATTATACAGTTCAGAACTTTGCATCTCTTAGTTATCGGTGTTTTTCTGCTGACTATAAATGATCGCGAAATACAAAAAAAATACCACGTGACAAACCCACTGCCGCGCGTACGTGCGCCATGATTCTGGTGCCCTCTTACGTTCCGTGTACGAACTATACGCTTCTCTCGCATCGGTTCACGACAGCGATAAACAGTCACAGTGGTTATCGCTTTTGTGGCAAAACGTGTTCATCGCAAAACGTGGGTGGCAAAACGTGGATAGCAAAAACGTGTTCATCGCAAAGCGACCGCCATTGTTGCAGCCCTGTCGAGACAGCACAATCGGGCGAATTCTATGGTCGTTCCTACGCGTAACGTTAGGGAGCACTAGAATCATCATGATCATTGGCGCACTGGCGGGTTTGTCACGTGGTATTTTTGCATTTAGTGGGCATTTGCTGTTAGCAGAAAAACACTAATAATTAACAGATATAAAGTTCTAAACTCTCCAACTGGGTGTTTGGCAAACCGATCTACAACTTTCTCATTGGTTTTTTTTATCCATCTTCGATTCTTTAAAAGTTAGTTTATTAAACAGATCTATAGACAATATTTCAGAACTCAAAAAAGAGTCAGCTACAAGCAATGGTCAGCAACATGTATTTGGTCGCGTCGTAATTGCGTGTGTTGGCATATTTTTAAACTCTGGCTGCAAATAGCTGGTGAACCCTGTGTAAGAGGAGACGCGCTATAGTGATGGTGCTACTTTAAGGGACAAGAGGCTGGCAGAGTGGTTCAGGGAACAAACGGGTGTTCAGAATATCTTAATCGAATTGAAGAATAAGAAAGTGCATGGGCAAGACGTGAGTGCTGGTTTGCCCGCCCTTTTTGCATACCCAGGCAACGCATGGTCGCTAGACGACGAAAACGACAAGGTGCGTGTTCCCCAGTAAATGGGCAACCTACGCCTGTACTGATGCGTATACCATGCAACGCTTCAGAAAATAGAGAGATCGAGACCTTAGCTTCACTCTTGGAGGCGGAGAGGCAGTCCACTTCTCTCTGGAATGTCCTCTCGACCGAATGCTGAATCCACGAAAGCGCTCCCTGTCAGCGCACCACGAGTCACGATGAATAAACATAACCAAGAGCCTAAAAGCAATCACACTCAATCTGCTGTATCTCACAGTGTTTCAGTTAACTTCTGCTAATCACTTGCTATATTTAGGTGAACAAATGGCACGTGTACGACGAACAATACAGCTCTTTTTCAGGACAACTATAGTACTGGCACCTTTCCTACTGCCTAGTTCAATGCTATTGGATATATTTAACGCTGCGACTTGTTTATATTTAGTGAATAAATTTCGCGTGTATTTCGAAAAAGACAGATCTTATTCAGAAGACTAATAACACGGCTCCCTTCACTGCCTTTAGTTTCATGTCATTGGATATTTATTGCTTGCAAACCCCGAAGGCAGAGGGAACAAATGAACAGTGGTGTTGCGATAGCACCTCTACAGGTACTACATGACAGACGTACGTCCGTCATAACGCGATTCCTAACTTCACCTCATGTTTACATCACTAGCAATCAGAGTGCAATTATCACAGGGCGATGAACTTTATTCCCCAGGAATGCGGGTAAATATTCCATACAGATTGTCACTCAAGAGGAGAACGCACCGCGGCACTCGTGTAAACAGTCTATATCGGATTGTATTAAATGTTGGGCAATTACATTTTCGTCATTTTTAAAACGCCTATATGCAGGAACTATCAACGTGTACCTTTCACTTTGCCAAACCAGCTACGAACACTATGGCAATAAGTCTCCAATATCTAAAAACAAAAAGCAATACAATCAGATGCAATATTCTATTTTTGCAAAGAAAGTAATTAAAGCATGTATATTACCTGTGAATATATTATATCAAGGTTGCCAAGTTGTAAATGAAAAATAAGCAAGGAATTGAGAGAAGCTAGTCAGAACGTAGCCGATTAAGCTAAATAACGGTAAAATTAGCCAAAATTAGCCACGCATGTGTGAAACCTTGGTGACATTTAACTTAAATGAAGAAATCTAAGACCCTTTTGAAAAAAAAGGAAAACAAATACACCAAGGATCATATTGAAAATTTTGTTGAAGTGCACTAAAAACCGACGGACAGAGGAGGCTGACAAGCACAGGGATTGCTCTCATACCTGAAGATATGCTGGTTCGAAAAAAGGGTGTTTAAAGCGCATGCATGGTTCTTCGCGCGTGTGCAACAGGAGCAGGGTGCAACAAAAGCACTCGTATTGGAATTACAATTTTTTTTGTCTTATTTGGCATGTTGCCCCGCCGCGGTGGTCTAGTGGTTAGGTACTCAACTACTGACCCGTAGGTCGCGGAATCGAATCTCGGCTGCGGCGGGCTGCATGCTTTGGGTGCACGTTGAGCCAAGGTGGTCGAAATTTCCGGACCCCTCCACAATGGAGCCTCTCATAATCATATGGTGGTTCGGGACTTTGAAACTCACGTGTCGCTCATTTATTATATTTCGCAAGCACTACGTCTCCGATACGCGTATTCTTTATTGTGCAGCACAATTCGTGGCTTGGCTAACACAGCCATATTCCTCTTTTGAATGTGGTGTGATTCCACTATTTCACGCGTCAGCTGATCCTTATGTCGAAATACTATTTCTGCTTCTTTAAACGAAGAGTAACATGCACAGTTTCTAAAGGAATCTGGAAGATGAGTGTTGCGTAATGTTTTAACAGATGCGAGGTGTTCTCTGAAGCGGTCATTCACGCATCTTCCTGATTGTCCGATGTAGACTTCTCCACAAAACAGTTTCGTATATACCACCCCCTTTACGCATTTTACGAACGCATGTTACGAACGCATTTACTACCCTCCTTACGCATTTTAGCGCCGCAGTGGGGGCACTAGGATGATATGCTCAGGGGAGTTAAGTGCAATAAGGGATTTCCTCAGGGAGAGGGAGGGGGGGGGCTTCGAGGTGTTTAACTCGTGCATTTTGTTTTACAAGTACGCTTGGTGTGAAAGGGGGCCATGCGACAATTATGGGCGAGGGGACTGCTATACACCACCTCAATAACACCCTCTGGCAGCGGCATGTCTTGCGAGTGGTGTTGGTGACGTAATAAGCATAGGTCTTGTTAGGCGCAGCCCTCAACCACCCGTCCTTGAGTTTCGCATCGTTGCTATGGGGAGTATGATTAAGAACAGCAAAGGCAGATTATATGTACACTCCATAGTGCACTCAAGCTCAGGAGTTATTACTGAATTGACATCGGGTAAAATAACGTGCTTTCTATCCTTCCTACTCATGTGAATGTTGCTACCTCGCACATTCACATAATCAAACCTTCCCGGCACAGTTGGTGTAGCAGTGCGCACCTGTGCAGTTCGGGTCGAGGCTTAGCGGCGTCAATGATCGAATGTTTTTGTGGTGTAATTTTAGATTAGAGGTTATTGCAACCTTCGACAATATTCAATCTGAACGTGTACATGATGTTTTTGATAATAAAAGTGACCCCATCAAGTTATTTTGAAGTCCACTAATGAGACTAGGCATCAAGAAAGGAATATGCAAAGAGCCACGACTGATAAAGAAACAGTAAATACTTGGCGAGACAGTGTCAGCTGACTTCGACAGATAAATAATTCAGACAAGTCATTTATATATCGCAGGTGTGATACAAGTCATGTGGCTCGGCAGCATCATTTCCCATATAAAGGTCTAGCTTGTTGACCGAGATTTCAAAGGAGCCTTCAACCAGAATAATCATGCAAGCTGTCACTTTGTTGATTTCTGCCGGCCTCTACGTACTGCCACTCGGCATTCTGTTCACTGTGGGAGACGCGAAACACGAGTTAAAACATGACGTCGCAGACGCTTTCGAGGTACGTGCAGTTCAGATTGA